ACCAACATCGTGGATGACGCTAGCGAGAGACAGAAACGGATGGAAACAGTGCTGTGGCCTGCACGACAAGGGAAGACAGGCCATCTAAGTATCTAAGTAAGTAATAAATGATTTGAGAATTTGATGTTTTTCGCATTCTTATTTCAAAGCTTAACCTAGATTAGAAGCGCTGTTTTCCGGCTCTGATTGGATCTCAGACCCTTTCGCCACTCGGAGGAAAATCTCAAAAATATGTTGGATAAGTTCCAAGAATAAGAGGAAGTACAACCAGCGGTTGAGTAGAGAAGCCTTAGATGCTTACTTTATTACTTCTTACATGAATCCGGCTAATAGTAATGAATCTTTTTTGGCCATCTATCTGAGTATCGATGGATGTTTTTCGATAAAAAGTGTTTTCAGCTATATCGTCTACTATAACAATAAATAATACCTCAATAGAAACTAAAACTTGGTTATGACCATTACTCGACTGTCAATATCGGTACCAATCATGCTCACCTCCAATTATCTGCTCCTTTGATATAGCCATGTGGTCCATAGAGTGACAGTAATGCAACACCTGTCGCTATAACCCACACAAACATTGCTATCACCTAAATAAACACTCAATGCTCAAAAAGTGTTAGTGCAAAACTTAACACTAACCCAATGCAATTTTGGTTTTCTTCTCGAAGCTAAAAGATACCCAACCCCAAGGCCAATTAGATAAGGGGTGCAGCGAGTCCAAGGTTTCTCATAGTATTCTGAGAAAAACGCTGTTGTCTTTCTGGAAGTATGAAATCATGCGGAAAAAGTTTTTCTTTTGGACTAAGTGGAGTACTTACTCGAAAGCAAATGCTCCTACGACTGTAGCAGGAAGGTCATCCCGGAAGGTGATTACATAGACGTAAGCAATGCTGGCTGCACCACACAATAGAAGCAATATGGCTCCTAGGAAGTCATTTTTTCGCAGAGATGATAGCATATGTGAGAAACTCACGTTAGCTAATTTATATTACCTAACTCTACCATTTAACACCATGGAAGTTAATAGTTTTTCAAAAAAAATGTACATAATGTTCTTTCGAAAG